GCTTTGGATAAAAAACTTGTTAGGGGAGTTGGGGTTTAATGTTAATGACCTTATGTCCCTCTGTTGCAATAATAAAGTAGCCATAAGCATTGTAACTAATGTTGGCTTTCATGATAGGACAAAGCACAAAGGAACAACTTGTTGATGTTCTCATGAAGTGGATATAATGCTCACGATACAACGATTTATGTGACAACTTGGGCATGGTTGACATATACAATCCATCTTAAGGGGAGTGTTGTTAGTATTTGTCAGCCTACTATATTGCTAGCTTGTTTTTTTCGTTGTTATTTTTAAGTTGGGCCACCATGGGCACTCTTTTAATTTTTTATTTTTTTTTCAATCCCTACATTATAAATAGAACAAGGGGCGTTTCTAGATGATCTTTTATTGTCCCTTCAATCTTTCCTCTTCTCCTTTATTATTTCCCTCTTCTTCTCTTATTTTTATGCTTCTTACAGTGATTCTTAGTGAAAACAAAGTTTAAACAAAATACTAACCTTTCAATTGACCAAACTTATGTATCAAAGAGGTAATGCACAAGTTATGCACATAGGTTGAACAATAATAACTTTGAAATTAATCAAAATGATATCATTGAAAAATGGTAATGCAAAATGTGCCTTTGAAGAATAAGTTATATAAACATCAAACTAAAATACAAGGGATCGATCAAAATGCATAGCAAACATTTACTATTAATAACAAATAAGAACTATTACTAGCAATGTATTTTGTAGCTTGAAGTATCAATGCATATCAAATATAAACTGTTAATAGATGGAGTAGCACATAGAGAACACACTTGTCAATAGACATAAATCAAACTTTAAGTGTAAACAAGTAAAACCCTAGCCATAATCAAACACAATAAAAGAAGAGGATTGTCAAATTACAAGTTGTTGTAGAGGATTGTACCTTTAATGTTAACCATTAGGCAACCAATCATAGCTATGTTAAAGGACTAACAAGAAAAGGAAAACAACGAGTTAGTAAATGGAATCTTTTCATATTTGTAATATTGTTCGAATGGGGGTTTTCATTCAATTGGGGCAGTAAGAACAACTTAAAAGTGTTGAATGAGAAAGGGAAAATCAAAACCATATGGTTAATTTCTTGATGAATTCACATGTGAGGACCTTGTACACATATCTAATAGACATGAGGGTCTGAAAGCATAAAAGAACTTTACATGAAGGTTCCTAAAAATAATTTATGTTGGTCCCTTGTGGTCTTTTTAACCCTTGGGTATTTTTGTCTACTACTCCACTCATTTCCAAAAGAAAATAGCCTATTCTTTTGGTCTTTTTGTCTTCACATAGGACACAAAGAAAACCACAATTAATAACTCTTAAAGCAAAGGTAATAGAAAATAAGAGAGAAACAACAATTTTGATGGAAAGTTCTTAGGCTATGTTTGGTGATTAAGTGATTTGATAAATAAGCACTTGTTGTTGTAAGTGCTTATTTTAACAACCAGTTTATATTGTTTGGTGATCTATTTTCCAAATCACTTATTGCGTATTTTAATCACTTATTGGGGTGGGGATGTTTGGTGAACTACTTTCCCACAAATGTTTATTTTAGCATAAATGACAAATTTAGCCCCCATTTTACCCACACATATAAATAATGGTTTTCAATATTATATTATACATTTAAAGAAAGTTTGCCACATCACCATGCCGTGACACATGGGAATCCATGCACACATTGAGTGCCACATGGACAATGTGCAATAAAAATTTTAAAAATATAGTATTACAAAAAAATTGTATTAATAAAAAACAATCAACATTCAGATTAAGGAAAAAAAGAAATTTGGAAAAACATCACAAAAGAACAATTACCAACTATTCATAACTTGGAATAAAAACACAAATTTGCAATAATGTTTAGCACAAACTAATTAACACAAAATAGAACCATCCATTATTTGGATTATGCAAAATAATCAACATAAAATAATTAACACAACCACATACACTTCAAAAAATCACAATATTATCATTTTTATCTTTGAAAATCGAAAAAAATGTTTTGAGCAAAATATTGCACAAAAAATAATAAGTCAAAAATGAAGGAGAAGGATGACTGACCTGATGTTGCCGACGATTGTGTGAGAATGGCGTGAAATCCTCCATCCCCCAAAAAACCAAATATGGTAAACAACAATGCCAAAAGGGTTCCGGGTGTTAAATACCTAAAAAAACAAAAATATTCATGAAAACATGAAAAAATGGTTTCAAAAGTGAAACTGGCCTGATTGCCGGTGAGTTTTTAAGTTCTTCAATGGTCGTCAATAGCTGCCAATAGAGGTGTCACCACTGGTGTACTTGGGTCTATTTGAATGAGGTAGAAGAGGGTTTTTCTAATGTGTGGAGATATTTTGGGGATTTAAAAAAAATAATCAGGGACTGAACTGTCCCAACAATTTTGAACATGCACTTATTAGTAAATGCTTAAAAAGACACTCTCAAATTGTTTTTTCAATAAGCACTTATTTTTTAAATAATCACCTTTTCCTTACTTTTTTACCAACCAGGGATAAGTGCTTATTTTCCACTTGTGTGGTCCCAATACTTGTTTTAAGTACTTATAGAAAGAAGTACTTAATAAAAGTGAAATTAAACAGGGCCTTAATTCTCTTATTGTTTTATATCAAACCATATGAAGTTAATGGAACATGAGGAATTTTAGGAATATCCTACTTAATATTTCATAGATTATTCAATATGAAAGGCCTTTTGTTGCAGCTCAAGGGATGACATTTAAAGCAAATAGCTCAAAAAGTGAAGCCATGTACCTTAAAAAATTGGCTTTAGATTCATAAATGCATCAAAGGTTATCAAGGTAGAAGTGGCAATTAAAATCATTAATCAAGAACATTTCTAAAATCTCTCACATTTTCTTATGTTCATATTATCCGTGTTATACATATACAAACATACAATAATGTAAGGGCACGTGCCATGCAAGTTTGCCAGGGTAAAGATATAAATCGACATTATATAATAAAATTTAACTTTTATGGCATTCACAAAAATCAAGGCAAGTATCTATTTTATATATTATAGATATGGATAGATAGATATATTAGCCAAAACCCTCTACCTAGGTCTAGCGTATAGGACCAAACCCTATATGCCCTAAAGTCATTATTCCATACTCTTTTTATTTATATGTTTGTTTGTTTTATGGGGCTACATAACAAGAGGTAGTCCACCCCCACCCATAACTAGGGTTGTAGCTTGGATAGCCCTAACTTGAGCTTGACTTGACCCAGCCCAAGTTTTTTTCATGGGTTTGATATGAGTTTTTGGGTTTTGGGCTAGGCCTAAATCCAAAAAGTTCAAGATTGACCTAACACATGGGTTGGGCTTGGGTTGAGAAGCTTGGGGTTTGACCTTGAGTTGGGCCAAGTTCGAACCCAAAGGTTGAACCTTTAGGGTTGGAGTTGGCTTGACCTCAACCTGACCCAATTCACTCAAGTTGCCCACCTACACTTGAAAAAAAAAAGAAGAAAGAAAAAAAAGGAAATGGTGACAATAGGATTTAACTCCTACCTAAATCATTGTTACAAGCAATCCAAAAATTTGACAACTGATCTGAGGAATGAAATCAAGGTGGCCTCAAGGTGAGGAACATTTTCCCCATTTTTGACCCCAACTTTGAAACAAATTCCCATCCTCAACCTTGATCCCTGTTGGGGATAAAAAAGTAACCATCCATCCTCGAGCCCAATGGAGACGGGTTCTCTATCGGGGACCCACTTTTCTAAAAATCTTAAATTAAAAGTTTTTTAGAAAATATATTTACTTAAAATAAGGGTAAATTTTTAAAATATAAAATATTTTAAATATATTTTGATATATAATATATACAATAACATATAATATATATTTAATATATATAATCGGGGTTGGGTGGAATTCACTCCCCATCTTCATCCCTATTCCCCATCAAACATCACTATCAATCCCCACTCCTAGTGAGGCAATCTCCATCCACGCATTGTTTTAAAAGACATAAGTTGAGGTGCATAGATTTTGCCTCAAGGCTTAAGCCTCACAATTTTATTGTGAGGCTTAAGCCTTTGCTATAATGAGGTGCAAGCCTCAAGCCTCAAGGCGTGAGAATAAGTGAGATATATCTTGAGGCACAAAAAAGCATAAACTTCAAGTATTAATGATTATTTAGCAATTTACTGCAAAAATATATTTTATGCATTTGTATAGTTCAAAATCAAAATACATGGAAGAAGCATTTCAATAATAATTATGAGCCAAATAAATAAAAAGATTAAAAATGAAAAAGCAATAGGGGAAATCATATTCTATTAGGTTCTCTTAGTGTTTTAGGAGACTTCAATGCAAAAAGGGTCAATCAAGTTCTTATTTTCTCTTGGATACATCAATTGGTTTTTCTTATTATTCTAAATCTAACATCCCAAGTTCGTTATTTTTCTCATTTATTTTCTTAATTGTGCATAGATCAAATTAATTAAGTTACTCTTCTCTTCTAAACTATTGAACGAACATAAATCTAATATCCAATTATATATATGGATGATATTTCCTTTCTTATAAATTGGCCATTTAAATTATTTAAGAACTTCACATTTTGAGATGAAATATAAAATATTTATAATTGCTAGTTGATCAATTATTATTTTATCTAATGCTTAACCATTGAAACTTATTGCTTATAAAATTTTATTCTATAGATATTTATACCTTCTATATCATTCTAATTTGTATATTACATGCTACTTTTATCAAATTAAAAATTTTAATTAATTTTGTTGTTAAATTTTGAGTTTAAATCATTAGCCTCAACTATGCTTTAGCTTTTTAAAACCTTGCACCCATAAGCGACAAGCGGGCGCCACTGGGCCGGTCTAAGGGCTGGCACTGGCCCAACCCGTCAAAAATATGGGCTGGCCGGCCACCGGTCGATGGGACCATCGTCAATTCGTCACGCCCCTTCAAAACGATGGAGCTGTTTATGTAACGCATATAAATATAGCACAAACCCAAAGCCCTAGCTTCTTCTGCGGCCTCTTCTTTTCCTTCACAGGTTAGTAGCCGTTCCAAAACCCTAATCCCCTTTAATCCTCCATAGTAGACATACAATAGAAAAAGAGATTTGTGCATAATTGATTGGGTTCCTCGTTTTGCAGTTTCATATTGGGGATTTCCTGAACGATCTTCACCGGATCAGGTCGGGAGGTAAGATTTCACTGCAGCCGTTTCGATTCCCCCTTCTAGTTTTTGTTGATCTTTCTGCTTCTTTATTTTTCCTGGAATCTTAATGGAAGCTTACGGATTCAGATAGTTTATTTATAGTATTGAAGAATAACACATATAAGTTCACTCAATCTGCGTCGAATATAGGGGTTTGGAATGGTTGCTTATGTACATATAACCTTGATAAGCTTCTTTGTGAGACGATACATGTTCTCTGTAACAGTGGGTTATTTCTATCGAGTCCGAAAGCAATTATTTTCTCCTTCGTCTGAAATGATACTGTCTTTTTTAGTTTTTAACATCTTCACTTTGTACGGAGAATGGTATCCCTTAATTCTCCGTTTGCTTTGGTACATGCTATTGTTTTTTATTCAGCGTCTTACTATATATTCAGGTTGTTCAGCTGGAGTTTTAACGGACCCTTGACTTGGCTTCAGATCTTCGTTTGCTTTACCATATATTTTCGTTGGGCTTTCGTTTCAGTTCAGTAATAGTTGTTATTTGACGTTGATACACTAATTGTATGAGTGGCATAATTCCTTGTTAGACATTCTACTTCTAACATGACCTGAGTGGTCTCCGATAAAAGATCTCTATTAAATCTCGTCCACCGGAGTGAATTGTTTTAAATATAATGAATCTATTGAACCCTTAGTTTAAGTTTAACCATCTTCCATTTTTCGGGCTTTAGATATATGCTTAAATTGTGCATTCACTGATTATACATCACAATCTGGCAGGAGCAGGCGATGGCTCCGCAGCAGCCAAAGAGCGGCCTCTTTGTGGGGTTGAACAAAGGTCATATTGTAACAAAGAAAGAATTGGCTCCACGCCCATCTAACAGAAAAGGAGTAAGTTACATCTTACTTCTATCATGCATCTTATAATCTCCACTTTTTATTGTTTGCAAGTTACCATTCAGCTGCTGCTACTGCAGTTGTGTATGTTCTAGTTCCTCGTTAGATCCAACTAGCTTGTTGTTGGACTGCTGAGGATGGGGTGCATGTTCATAGAAGATTCAACTGTTAAAAGTAAATTGGATGGTTAAATGTTCTGAACCTCTAAGGATCAGTCTAATCGCAATTCATTTTCTTTGTTCCTGGATGCTAATCTTATTTGGGTGATTGGGTCTAATGATTGCAATCACACTCATACTTGATGTCAAAATTAAAAAGAATTAGACTGACAGCTTCTGGCTTTTGACTTTAGAGCACTGATATATGACATGCTTTTTGAATTGGTTCTATCACCCAGAAAACAAGCAAGAGGGTACACTTTGTGAGAAACCTGATCAGAGAAGTTGCTGGGTTTGCACCTTATGAGAAGAGAATTACTGAACTTCTCAAAGTTGGGAAGGACAAGCGTGCCTTAAAGGTGGCAAAGAAGAAGCTTGGTACCCACAAGAGGGCAAAGAAGAAGCGTGAGGAAATGTCAAGTGTCCTGCGCAAGATGAGGTAATTTTCATCTATATAATGTTGAACTTTTTTCTACTCTAATTTATGTTTAAAAACATTGATGTAATTTGGAACCTCACTTTCATTTTCTCCTCTTAATAGTTACCGTATAACATAGTCCTCTGAATTTTCAGAGTTTTTATATGAACTTGCAAGTTCTTATCGCCTGTTTCTGTGGACTATATCTTGCAGGTCTGCTGGTGTTGACCACAAGAAGAAGTGAGAGCATGCATCAGGCTGCACAAATGACTTGAACAAGTAGAGTTCTACCGTTTTCTGTTTTGATTTCAATGAAAGTTCAGTAGTTAAGAGGTTTAGTTTTTGTCTAGGATCTGAAGTGGAGAATTAAATTTTGTGCTTAACTTGTTTTAGTCTATATTGAGATCCGATTATGTCCTTTAGATGGCAAAGGAAAATTAATAGATTCTATCTTTACATATCTTTTGTGATAGATACTTCTAATGCACCAAGTGTTCTTACTGCTATGAGTGTGTGTGCACAAGAGTTTGCATGTGCTGTTACTGGACTGATTAGTGTTTTATGATGACCTAATCCATCACAGGATTTCATGTAATTTGCATATTATCAATCCTTTGAGCGCAATGATGAATCCTTTAAGGAATTCACAATGATTTGGGGTTTGCCCTAATGTGATTTTCTGGAAATGCAAAGGATTTCTGAGCACTATCAACCCTTTTTGATTCTTTCCCTGTGGGCTGCGTTTGTTGCAATGTAAGCCAAGTGGAAAACAAGGTTAGGTTTGGTCCATAAGAGGGCCAAAAATGTAACTGAAATTTTAGAGATCGCAGATATGCTTTGATATTCTCTTTTAAAGGGTCCGTCTGAATGTTTCAGATGGACGATGGAAATCGTTGAGACTAGATATTTTTGCTATTATTTCCATTTCCTTGAGCTGTTGGTTGCAATGTGAGTTTATTTACCCTGATTCAAAATCATAGTGCTGCAAATGATTTTGACGCAAATTATGATTTATTTTTATTTCAAAATTTACCTTATTTTGTTTGATTGCAGTAAAAATCAAGTAAAATAAAACCTGAAACATTATCAAATAAAACCCAAAATAAAATTAAGTCAAAATTTGCATTTTTCAATTGCACTCACATTTGTATTAGTGCAAATAAAATTGCACTGCAACCAAGCACAGCCTTTGCTTAAAAGATTTTTTCTCCATTTGATTTGCTTAGGCTCAGTTTGGAAGGAGTACAAATACAAATATGTAGAGTTCAAAATCTTGTATTCCGATATGTATTTGTATTGTACATGTATTTGTACTTTTTCCAAACTGAGCCTTAGTGGTAAATGATGCAGTACAGATATACATACAACAGAGTACTGAATACAAGATTTTGCACTTGCATGTTTGTATTTGTATTCCTTCCAAACTTGAACCCAGTGTTTGCAAGTAACACATGGGAAGCTTCTTTGCCGTTGTAGAATACCGCTTCAAGCCCTCAATCAAGAATTAGGTGGAATGGACGAGATCACATAAGGTTTTAACGGATCCTTAGCGTATGGTTTAATTTTTTGGTGTATGCTTAGCGTTATTTAGATTGGGTTTGCTGCATGAGTAGCTTCCAAGCTGGTCGTTACTTGCAAAATCAGGAGTTCGTTGTATTGATGCCTGTTCTGCAACTGTGGCTAAATCACGAGTAAAATGGCCAGCAACCGCCCATTTGCTACGACTGTGTCGTAGCCCTCCGCTGAAACAAGTTTTGATGGCCCCACGTTGATTTAGATGAAATGACTTATTGGTGTGACCAAGGCTATGATTGTAGCTAAAGTGAATGGTCAATAGGTACCAAGCCGCATCCTCTACAGAGTTCTGTTTCGGTCAGTGCAAAACCCATTCGAACAGCCTTTCCGATCTTGCATTGAGAATATTCCGTCAATAGGTACGTGTGCGTTTTATTTCATAAGGTATTCCGTTGCCAAAGGCTATTGGAATAGTGTGAGCATATGGGTTTGCACTGATCAAAGTCAAACTCTTTTGCATTATTGGAATAGTGAGCATGGGTTTGCACCGATCAAAGTCAAAATCTCATTTGCATTGTGGTTGCAGAAAAAATTCTGTAAACCACCAATTAAAGAAAGCTTCGTCATTCAGACATTCTATGGAATGGACGATGGACTCCTAACAATCAACGACCGTTTCTACCCAAAATAAAATGTTTTATTAATTTATAAAATTTTGAAACCTCCCCTAGTTAGTCAAATCCTTTTTGCATTATGCTTTACCAAAAAAGTATATTATCTTTCATACATTATTGAAGCGCATCACTCTTTGCTCTCTTTTCTTTTTCTCACTCTCCCTGCCTCCTTCGATCAATTGTCCACCAGTGATTTGAACTCTTTTCTCCTCTCTCTCTCTCTCTCTCTCCATTTTATTTTGCTTCTTCTCTCTTTCTTGATTCTGCAATCTATTTTTTTTCTCTAAGAAAGCTGCTGCAACCACCGGTGCCACTCCTTTCTTTCTCTTGCCCTCCCTTCCTCCTCCGATCCACTATCCACCTCTCTTGTGGTGTCTTGTAGCCAGATCAAGTCTCTAGGAAGCAATATGAGAACATTTTTCTTTTTTGCTGAAACAGTATTTTGAATATTTATTCTTTTCATTGTTGAAACGGTACTTTGAATGGTTATGTGCGATCCAAAAGAAGTACAAATGACATCAAGTAGAAGGTGATTAAATCTACTTGTTTGAGATAATTTAATATTGAAAATTGATATCAAACCGATACTATTTAGTATTGAAAATTGATACAATTTTGAACTAAAAGATCACTTGTTGAATGTTTATTTCCTCTTTATAGTAGTGCATTGTCATTTCAATGGTATAAACCACATTCATTCCTCCTACGTTGTGATCTAAAGATTTAGATTTTATTAGGTGCATATATAGGTTCTCATATCTGAAGTGCATTCAAAGACAAATTGAGGAAATCAACTTACATTTAAAACTAATCTACAAGTAATATAATTAAATAATAATTCTGTCTTTAATCAATTAAATGATGACATGCATATTGTATAATCTGTTTGTATTATATACCCACCATCTGAGGTGCAGTACGTAAAAATGATTCAAGCTCTTATAATAATTTCAAATTGTTTTTAATATATGGTGAAGATGAAGAATATATATCCACCAGTGGTTGTGGTAGCGTCGGTGGTTGCTGCAGTTTCCTTTGAAAAAACAGTGGATTGTGGAATCAGGGGAAAGGGAAGAAGAAACAATATAAAATATAGGGGGAGAGAGAGGGGAGTGGAGAGTTTGTGCACGCCACGGTTGCCAGTGGACAGTGGATTGAAGGAGGCAGGGAGGGTGAGAGAAAGAAAGAAGGGAGCAGCATCAGTGGCTGCAACATCTTTCTTTCAAAAAAAACAGGTTGTGGAATCAGGGGAAGAGGGAAGAAGAAATAAAATAAAATGGGGAGAGAGAGAGTTCAGATCACCAATGAATAATTGATCAGAGGAGGTAGGGAGAATCAAGGTTCAAAGTATCGATATGTATCAAAGTCTTCCCAATATATCCCTACAGGAGATGTTTCGGGTCGACAAGTGATTCAGGGGGTATATCAGCTTTAAATCAGTTCTTCTGAACCAGATTCAAAAAAATAAAAGAACAACAAAAAAGAGTACCGGCCGATCAATACATTGAACCTTGGGGAGAGTGTGAGAAAGAAAGAAGAGAGTGAAGAGCGGAGAGATTAAAGATAATATTATTTTTTATGCAAATTTTCTAAACTATACTTATGGTTTAGAAAATTGACAAACTATACCCTAGTGTTTCATTATTGTCTTAAATTATACTACTATTTTTGACAACTGACTAGTCTACCCTTAGCAGCGAACCTCAGGCCTTTCTCTCTCTCTCTCCCCTTCTGCAACTCGTCTCCATAGCCTTCGACGTCACGTTTGTCATCGTCTGTTTATTGAGAGAGCAAGTATAAGGTTGGACTGATTTCAGGTGAGTTTTTTCTCTTCTTCTGAATCTCGGCTAGCAATGAACAGCCTTCAAAGAGAGATGGAAACTCAGCCTTTAATCTTGGCTAACCGTCTTGAAAAAACCTCTGAAACTCAGCAGGTTTTGGTTCTTCAAGCACCTCTATTATCCGATAAGTTCCAGCATTTTCGATTTGGGTAACACTTCTTTTATTTTCTTCTTCTTCTTTTCCCTTCTCTACGCTCTGTTGTTTACTGAGTTGTTATTTTATTTTATTTTTTGTTTCTTGATCTGCAAATGGTGACAGTGGAGAAGATCATTGTTGGAGTGATTATTGACTGCGGGGAAGTGGAAAAGGGAAGAGGGAGAACGAAGAGGGGAAGGTGGGCAGTGGAAGTTGCAGCGGCGACGACGATTTTGGTAAATCCAAATATAGAGCTGAAGGGGAAGGTGGGCAGTGATTAATGACTGCCGGAAGTTGTAGTGGCGGCGGTGATTTTGGCACCGAAAAATAGAGGGAAAAGAGAGCTTTGAACAAAGGGAAAAGTTGCGGTGCCAGAAGTTGTTATTCGAACTAAACAAGAACTCTTATTTCTCAGTCTGTCTGTCTCTCTCTACTTTGTTATTCGAGAGCTTTGTTATTCGATTGCTTCCAAGGGAGAACCCAAATTTTCCCTCTCCCACCAGCTTTTTCCCTCTTTGAGGGTGGAACCTGATCGTAGATTGAGAGATGATTTGGGACAATTTCTTTGCGACTGCAATGAAACTCATATTTTTTGAATAAAGTTTGGAGAAAAAAAGAAAAAAGAAAGAGAGAGAAGATTGGGCAAATCTTAGTGCCCGCTGAGATTTGGAAAAAATTGTAGATTGGAGCTCAAATCGTAGACCGGAGAGAGATATTGGGAAAAATCTCAGATTGTTGTCAATTTTAATGGAAGAGCAAAACCACCACTCATACCAATCTAGAAGCAGAGGTTAGAACACAGTTCTCCACTCCACAGGTTTAGATCACCGACGACATCAGAAAGTTGATGCAAATTTTGAATGGAATTTGAAGAAAAAAAAAAGAAAAGAGAGAGAAGATTGGGCAAACCTCAGTGCCCGCTGTGATTTGGGACAAATTGCAGAATGGAGCTCAAATCACATACCAAAGAGAGATACTGGGAAAAATCTCAGATTGTAGTCAATTTTAATGGAAGACGGAGTAAAAGAGACTGTGTAAGACAAGCGTCAACATTGAAAATATAAAGAAGAATGATAATGATGGGCAAAATAATGTTTTTATCTTTTTATTAATGGATAATTGAACAACATTAAGAATAGTTTAAAAAATTTGTCCTATTTTTTTTGATAAAGCATGATATCAAAAGGATTTGAGTGACTGGTAGGTGTTTCAAAATTTTACAAATTAATAAAATATTATATTTTAGGCAAAAACTGACGTTAAAATTGTTAGAAGTCCACCGTCCTGTTACATGGAATGGCGCAGCTTTCTTTCATCGGCGGTTGCAGAGTTTTATTCGCAACCACGATGCAGACAATGCGTGATATTTTAAACGAAACGATAAAAGATTTAACCCACTTTCAGAATAAAAAACTCATCATAGGGAACTAAAAAAATCTCTCGTCACATTTTTTAGAGTAGCATAGCTTTGATCTTCCGAGCATCTCGAGATGCGGTGGTACCGCCTCTCTACTTAATTCTCTTCTCACAGTCGGAGTGACAGTTTGACACTACACATGACATGGATAGAAAGGGAATTATCTTTGTGCTGTAATTGAACCCAAAATTCTAAATAAACTGTAAATTTAATTTGAAATTCTAGAGCTGCTTCCTACCGATGACATTTTTATTTTCACCGGCGGGTTTTGACCGACTTAGACCAGACGGTGCAGAAAGCCTATAAACATGTGATCTGAGCCAAGGACGATCGTATGAATGGGCTTTGGGCCTGTGAATTTGGATAATGCTAAATTTTATGAGATCTGGCAGCGTTGGATTGGATTTTAAAATCCCTGGGGATTTTGCAAAACAAAATAAAGCGAAAGCTTAAAGCCTTAGAACCCAGTTAAGATTGCACTCCAACCAAACTCAGCCCAAGGATTTGCTTTGATTTGTTGCTCATCACTCCATCAGCCAATGCATGAATGGAGATTGCCGAACAGCACTTCCCTCCCAGGTGAGTTCGTCATCATGGCAATTTTTTCCATCCCCGACGGAGACTCAATTTCCCCAATCTGATGAGGTCGGGGATGGGGATTGTTTTGGCAGGGCGGGGATAGGGTCGAGGATAGGGATTGAGGTTCCCGCCCTGACTCCGATAATGTATATATTATTTATATTATATATATTATTATATTATTTATATTAAATATATATTATTATATTATTTATATTATATATATATATCAAAATATATTTAATTTTTTTTTATAATTTAACATTTTTATTTATTTTTCAAATAAATACTGTTATTTAAAAAAAATTCGGGGATTCATATCCCCACGGGGAACCCATCCCCATTAGGGATCGGGGATGGAGTACAAATTTTATTCCTAGTGGGGATCAGAAACAGGGATGGGGGTTAATTTTATAATCGGGGTTGGGGACGAGGAATATGATCCCTGCCCCAAACCCACCCTGTTGCCATTCCTATTCATTCGTTTGGGTGGCCTTAGGTTCAATTTGAAAAAAGTAAATATATATAAATATGTATAATGTAAATACATACAAAATAATACAAAATATTAGATTTTGTACTCTAAATATAACATATTTGTATTTATACATCTTTCAAATTGAGCCATAGCATTTACCTGCTTGGTGATGGGAGATTGGGAGGCATGGTTTTTAAAACTGACCCGATGATTGAACCAGTCAGGGGTCCGGTTATCAGGTTGAACGGTCCAACCATTTGAATTAAATGCTCGGCTTGTTATCAAAACCGTTTGAACGGTTAATTACCTGATTCAGCAGTTCACTGACCAAAATCAACGGTTTTGGAGGAATATAGAACCGGTCCCTGAGAAACGGTTTTTCTGATTCGACCGTCTGGTCTGGTCCGGTCCCTGAGTACCCGCACTCGAGTTTCCACATTACCGTCAGCTTGGTAATTGCAACCTGTGCACTACATGTGACTAGTTTGCACCAGTAAGGCACGTATGATTATGACATGACAGGAAATGAAGGGATTATAAGTAGAAATTCCGCCCAGGGTCAGAATTTATAAGCTCAAAGTACATTTGGGTAGGTGCCAGCTCAATGATGAATGCATAGAGTGGGTTTTTGACATTTTGAATGTTTATAAGTAGAAATCAGAAATCTGCATTGGGCCTGTCCATACTTCTCAGTTCTTTATTTCCTTGCAAATGGAGAAGAAAATTACTGGAAAAATAATATCACAGAGAGAATATGCCATCCGGCAACTATGATAATATTTATTGGTGATTCACTTCTCTATGATGATGAACAGCACTTATTTCATCTATTTCGTCAAGTGCAATTTTTTCTTTTCACCCAGGAAATTGTTAAATGCAAAATCCCTGGTTCCGCAGGATTAAACAAAAAGAAAGGAAAAAAAAAGTGAAAAATTCATTTCTATTTTTTTAATAATCGATGCTCCCCTACAAACAAAATAATTGGGAACATAGAAGAGAGCTTTCATAGTTTCATGTCTTGAACCTCTGGGTGAGCTTCTCCACTCCTTCCCTGCAATCCTCTGCTATCCTCCTTGTCCCTTCCTTGAGAGTAATACCAAATTGAGTAGTGCTTTGCTGTAACTCTTGTACTGATTCAGACGCCTTTGATACAACAGCACTTTGAAGTTCTCTGACTTGCCTGGCAGAATCTGTGCTCCACTCCTTCAAAACAGAAATCAATGAGACTATCTTCTCGATTATCTTCTCTACTACAAGTTTGGATTTCCCTCCAATTTCACCTGCCAATGCTTTGAGCTTGCCTACCAAGACCTCAGCTCGATTGACAGTTCCGCTCACTACAGATTGCTTTCCTGCATTGAGCCATGTGACCCCAGCAGAGGCATCATCTTGGAGATCGCTGTCAACAACAACTTTTATGCCTTGCCTCTCCCACCGTTCTCTAGCTTCTTCCAGAGTTTTTGCTTGCTCTCTTGCTCTTTTAGCTTCATCCTCTGCCCAAGCCCTGGATGGCCAATAACAAAAAAACAAAAATAAATACATAAAATAAGTATAAACCTATCCTATTGGAAATGTCAAACTGCATTTTTTATGAAGTGTGCAGTATTGTATTGAAGAGAGTGTGTCAAAAGGTCGTACAGTGGGGATGTACAATCAATTCTGTATGTCAATAGAAAAAATTCTCTCCATAAAAGTAAAGGCCAATTTCTGATAGTGGCCAAATGGTTCCCATGGTTTCCGCCATGATGCACTCTCCTAATCAGTAAACTGTCAGCCAACATGGCAACTAACATGTATAATCAGCTCCAATTCCCCACATGACTGTCCTTATGGCATGGTAGGTACAACATTCATTCCATAAAGACACTACCGACTGCATGTTGTCCATTTTGAGTATTGTCAATCAGAAACTGCCACTGATCTACAAGGAGACTAACAGCAGAAATGACTCAAGGTCTTATGAACTATCCACCAAACATTTTTTATCATTAACAAGGTAAGGATTTTATAAGTGTACAACACTTTCTCAACAAGGACTCCAGTATAGAATCAAGGGCTGAACAACAAATACTTTATAAGTTCAATTGCACTACACGCTCCATTTATTTGCACTAGTACAGATGCATAGGAGTGCAAACGACAAGAGTGCAAAATTCTGGTTTGCTTCAGGTTTTATTTTACTTCATCCTCACTGCAAACAAACAAAATAAAGCAAAACCTGAAGTAGCCCAGAATTTACATCAAACTTATTTGCACTCCCATGCTTCTGCACCAGTGCAAATGAAATTGCACTGCAAGCAAACAAGGCCTTAATATCTCACCCCTTGGCCCTGGTTTGGTGTACCCAACTCTGCAGTACTTTTGTGCACCATCCCCACACAAAACATATCTTTTCAATTATTTTCCAATAAAATATGATCGTTATATGATAATCTGATGCTGCACCCAAAAATAAAATGATTATCACATCATTCTTGATTTTCTGCTGGATGGATGAAGGCAACTATTTTCCTGGAGTATCTTCTGGAACTTAAAAGAGAGTAAATAAAATATGAAACGAATTTTCCTACAATTTTAAGGTAAGCTGCTACAGTGCCCATGCATCAAATTCAAAACAATTCAAAGTCCTCTTGGATCATAGCTAAAAATTGTACAAGGCAACTTGAACAATCTCCCGATATTGTTTTTTTAAAGGGTTTTGAATGATAATCCATTAAAGGCATATTGACAGGATAGTTAGATCACTAGATCAGTCTGACATCAAGAACTAGCTCACACTGATTAGACATCCCAGATAGAGGGGTTTGTGCTGTCTATAAAAGGTGGGTGCTAAGGTTCCTAAGATATATACCACTAAACATTGATGCATGGATGCATTTCACACAAATGTTGATATTGAACTTATATTACTTTGCCTTATACATACCAATATCAACATGAACAGATATTCAAAATACAAAATGGCAATTTTTACATAACAAACTTTTTTATGGATAATTTTTGCAGAATGAACTTTGCATAAATTGGACTAAGTTTTAGTCCTTTTTTTCTTGATCAACTTTAAACAACACCGGAAACTATTTTAATAGCCCAAATCATCTTTGCTCTATGTATCATTATTTTTATTATGATTCGGCCTGCCCTTGAGTTCTGTTAGACTGATAACAGTCAAGAAGAAAGAGGAAGAAAGAAGAAAGAGAGAGAGGAAGGAGAAGAAAAGAAGAGAAGAAAGGGAGAGAAAGTTCGGGTTCGAACGAGAGAAAAGATTACCTCTCCCATTCGGCTAGATGTGTTTTATATTACTAACATAGTGGAAAAGACACATTTGCCCCTACTTAAGTAAGGGACACTAGTTCTAACATAATCTTACACATCAGCAACTTCAACATAAGCAGAAAGACAGAAATACCCCTGCATACTTGACACTAACACCCCCCCTCAAGCTAGTGAGTATATATCATATAATCCCAGCTTGTTACATATGTAGTCCACTCTCCCCTGACTCAACCCTTTAGTAAATAAATCTACCCACTGGTTCCTTGTGTTAACATAAGCAGTGTCTATTACTCCACTCAACACTTTCTCTCTCACAAAGTGACAGTCAACCTCTATGTGCTTGGTTCTCTCATGAAACACCGGATTAGAAGAAATATGAACTGCAGCCTGATTGTCACAGTAGAGCTTCATTGGAGTGTTAACAGTGTATCCCATCTCCTGTAAAAGGTTCCTTAGCCACATTAATTCACAAGTAGTATGTGCCATAGCTGTATATTCTGCCTCTACACTGCTTCTTGCCACAACTGTCTGCTTCTTACTTTTCCATGTCACCAGATTGCCCCCAAAAAAGGTGCAATAGCCTGTGGTAGATCTCCTATCAGACACAGAACAAGCCCAATCAGCATCAGTATATCCTTCTATTTTAAGTTTTCCACCACTTTTGTATATCAAACCACGACCAGGAGCCCCCTTTAAATACCTCACAATTCTTAGAACCGCATCCCAATGTGGAACCAGAGGTTTCTGCATGAACTGACTTACCACACTAACCGCAAATGAAATATCTGGCCGAGTAATGGTTAGTTAGTTCAGTTTACCTACAAGTCGCCAGTATCTGCCAGGGTCTTCAAACATTTCACCCATATCACTGCTCAGCTTAGTGTTGGTTTCCATAGGTGTTTCAGCTGGTTTATTACCTAACAAACATGTTTCAAATCAAGAACATATTTCCTCTAACACAAGTTAATACCATGCTTAGACCTTGCTACTTCTATCCCCAAGAAATATTTCAATTTACCAAGATCCTTTGTTTGAAAATGTTCCTGCAGAAAAGCCTTTAACTTATCAATGCCCATTCTATCATTCCCGATAATAACAATATCATCGACATACACCACCAATAGGATCTTCCCTGCCTGAAGTCATGACTTAAGACTGAATGGTCAACTTGGCATTGTTTCATACCAAATTTCTTTGCCACCTCATTGAACCTACCAAACCATGCTCGAGGAGACTGTTTAAGCCCATAAATGGCCTTCTTTAGTCTACATACCTTACCATCCTCTCCCTGAGCAACAAACCCGGTGGTTGCTCCATATAGACCTCCTCGAGCAAATCACCATGCAAGAAAGCATTCTTGATATCAAGCTGATAGAAGGGCCAATCATACATAGCAGCAAGTGAGATCATAACACGAACCAAACCAATCTTAGCAACCGGGGAGGTCTCTGTGTAGTCAATACCATAGGTTTGGGAGTACCCTTTTGCAACCAGTCTAGCTTTCAGCCGCTCTACACTACCATCAGGTAAGTACCTAACAGTATAAACCCACTTACAACCGACAACCTGCTTCCCAGGAGGAAGAGTGGTGAGGTCCCAAGTATGATTATGAGTGAGAGTTGAGAGTTCTTCCATTGCACGATGCCATCCTAGAGAGCAAGGGCTTCCTGGACATCCTTAGGGACAACAACAGAGGATATAAACTGACGATGGGAGGCAGAAAAGTGAGTGAGAGAAACATAATTAGAAATAGGATGAAGGGTACAAGTGCGTTTACCTTTCCACAAGGCAATAGGAAGATCAAGATCAAATACTGGGGGTGGGGCTGGTGTAGGGACAACTGCCGAATCTGTCGACGTTGATGGAGTTGGAGGAGGAGCCGGTACATGTGGGCGATGTGTATACACTTAACGGATAGGTGGCCGTTCAACAGGTGGTGGCACTAGAGGCAAGGGCTTGGTCACAGTTGGAATAAGAGGAACAAAATCCACGACTGGAAGAGGAAGAGGAGGTGATGAGGAGGAAGAAACATCACTAGACCCCAAGAAAAACAGAGTAGATTCAAAGAAGGTAATATAAGCACAAACAAAGGAACGTCAAGAGCTAGGATGATAACACTTATACCCTTTCTGAGTCTGGGAATAACCAAGGAAGATGCACTTAATAGATCGTGCATCTAACTTGTCCCTCCTAGGACCCAGATTATGGACGAAGCAGACACACCCAAAATTCCAAGGAGAAAGAGGAAACGGAGACAAGGTAGGAAACAAAGTAGTGAATGGAGAATGACCATCAAGGATAGGCATGGGCATCCAATTAATCAAAATGCAAGAAGTAAGCACCGCATCACTCCAAAAGGGTTTGGGAACATTCATGTGATGCATGAGAGATCGAGTTGTTTCCAAAAGATGACGATTCTTTCTCTCAGCCACTCCATTTTGTTGTGGGGTGTAGGTACAAAAAGTCTAATGTATAATGACATGTTGGTCCAAGTATTCTTGAAATGATGAAGAGAAATATTCACAGCCATTATCGGAATGAAAAATTTTAATGTGAACACCAAATTGGTTGCGGATCTCAGCATAAAATTTTTGGGAAATGGTAAACAATTCACTCATTTCTTTCCTTAAATAGAGCCACGTCATCCTTGAATAATCATCAACAAAAATGACAATATTTATATCAATTGTATGACATCACTTTATAAGGACCCCAAACATTTGAATGAACCAAAGAAAAAAGACTCGACATACGATTATCAACCCTAGGACCAAAGGGAGCACGGTGATGTTTCCCCAACTGACATGACTCAATCCAAAACAGAAAGATGACTCAACGAAGGAACCAAAGACTTTAAAACTTTCAGCGAAGGATGACCAAATCAATAGTGCCACTAGAGAGGAGAGAGAGATGACTGGAGAGCTATTGATGTGCTTCCACCACCGTCAAGATAATACAATCCACTAGCTTCATGCCCTCCACCAATCCTCATCCCCGTATTGAGATCCTGAAAAACACACGAAAAGGGGTAAAAAGTAATAGAGCAATTAAGTGACTTGGTCAACTTACTAACTGACATAAGGTTAAACGGAAATTTAGAGACATACAAAACTGAGGATAAGGGTAAAGGGTCCATGTTAACATTACCAACACCACAAATAGAGGATGTGGAACCATTAGCAAGGGTAACAGATTGTGATGTTGGGCAATGAGAGAGGGAAGAAAACACACTTGGAGTTCTAGTTATGTGATCGGAAGCTCCAGAATCAATAATTTGGGGTTTGGGTGTGGATGTTAGACAAGCAATACCCAAGTGTGCAAGAGTGGTTGTGTTTTGCTGAGATGTGGCTTGGACAAACCTCTCATACTCATCACGGAGGATTCATCATCTCCTTCCTGGGAACAACTATGGACGTAGGAAGCATCTGATTAGTTGAACGACTCTCTCGTCTAAAGCTGCTGTCACTAGTCATGGCATGATTGGCCCAAGTTTAGTGTGGACCATGCAAGTCATAGCAATAACTAATGGTATGTCCATCTATACCACAGTGAGTGCACCTCTTCGGACCCGAATTACGACCTTTGCCCCGGGCTCCCCCTGAATCTCTACCTCCAATACGACCACCACCACGGTAATATGTAGGTCCACCACCACCACTCTGGCCATATACCGGTCCGCTGCTACCACTACGGCCAGGCGGAGCTCCCCGAGCTCCACCTCTAACACCACGACCCCTCGATACTACAAAGGTTGATCTATCGGAAACACTAGAGTTCTCGGTAGATCCAATGGAAATCTTCCTAAGTCGAGTAAACACCTCTTCTAAGAAAGGGAGAGCTGATCCTCCTAGTATTTGAGCCCGCACTGGTTCATACTCAGATTTCAGCTCCACTAAAAAACGAGTCACATCAAGTTGTTCTCTCTGTTGTTGCTGAATTTTGACATCAGAAGTGAGGGGGTGATAAACATTCAACTCATTACAGATGTTTCTCATATTAGCATAGTACTCCTCGAGACTCTGATTACCCTGTTGCAGATTAAAGTATTCCTGATACAACTGATATACTCTATTTGTATTGTCTTGACCCGAATGCAACTTCTTAGCATGGTTCCACAGATCTTTGGTAGTGTCAAGAAATATGAAATTTACACTAATCTTGGGTTCCATACTGTTCCATAACCACGTGATAATCTGTGCATCATCTTGTTCCCAATCATCATACTCATGAGAATCAATGGAGGGTTTTTCTTCCCTTATGTGTGTTTCACCTTCTTCTTTGCCTTGAGAAAAACTTCTACAGATTTAGCCCAAGGTACATAATTTTCTCCATTCAGTTTAGTGGGTCATTTGAATATTCAGGTAGTCAGTAGGGACCATCATATTAGACTTGCCATCACTGTTGTCTCCCATTGCTGAACTCTGTTATTGCTGAATTCGACACACTGCACACCAAACCACCCTACACACTGATAACACTGGTTTCAACACTTGTTATTGATAGAAATTGCACTCTTCACACCACAAACTCTACCCCACGATTACCTGAAATCTCACCACACTGTATGAGGACCACTCCCCCTTCGAATCACACTGAAAACAGCATAAACCCTAGCACACTACAGTCTGAAATACCACTTTACGATCTGAAACATACTAATCATTTGATTCACAAAAAAAAAGTGCACAGAAATCTCTTACCTAATCACCTGAAAATCAAACTACACAAGACACCCACTGCACCACACGAATTAGCCCTCTTCTCTTCATCAATTAGGGAAGGGATTCTTAGAAATCACAGCAACCAACCATGAGCAGCACAACTGGAAGCATAGAAACCTCCAAGGGAAGAGGGCGACCACTCCTTTTCAGCCCTTTCCCTTATCTCCAACTGATAGCGAAGAAACCAAGAGAAAATCCTAGACTGGGTGCGCAAGAAACAAAATTCTGGGCAGATCCGATTTGCTTAGTTTGGCTCTGATACCATATTATGATTCGGCCTGCCCTTGAGTTCTGTTAGACTGATATCAATCAAGAAGAAAGAGGAAGAAAGAAGAAAGAAAGAGAGGAAGGAGAAGAAAGGGAGAGAGTTCTGGTTCAAATGAGAGAAAAGATTACCTCTCCCATTCGGCCAGATGTGTTTTATATTACTAACATAGTGGAAAAGACACATGTGCCCCTACTTAAGTAAGGGACACTAGTTCTAACATAATCTTACACATCAGCAACTTCAACATAAGCATAAAGACAGAAATACCCCTACATACTTGACACTAACAATTTTATATATCTGGATGTTGCGGGAAGAAAAGCAAATAAAAACTGCTTCCTTACCTGGCCATGGACAAAGCTTTCCTCTCAACTTCCAGCTCGTATTGCAGACGGGCAATGGCCTGGTTTTCGCTTTCTGTTTCTTTTCTGAGTTTGTTAATCCTTTCCCTTTCAAATGATATCTCCAACTGGTTACTCATAAGGCTCTGCAATTGCTCCTCCACTTCATGCCTCAACCTTGAAAGCACTTCCATTTCTGATTCAATAGCAGCCCGTCCCTTCACCAGGGCATCATTTTCTTGCTCTCTTTCAGCTCTTAATCTTTCCAGCTCCAACCTTGCCTCTTCAGCCAGTTTCTCAACAGCATCTATCTTTTCCCTTTCCATGGCAAGCTCCTTTTCAAAGTTTGCATTGACATCCTTTTCAACCTGAGCTACTAAAGCATTGTGAGCAGCAACAGCAGTTTCAGCCATTGACTCTGCTTCAATACGTGCAAGCTCCTCACTAACAATATCAGCAGCATCACCAGTTGCAAGAGCAATAGCAGCTTGGGCTTTTGTGACTGGTTTGTCTGGCTGAAACAGTCTTGTATAACCTACCACAAAAGCACAGAATATGAACAACTATCAAATTGAAGATAAAACTTACTTCAACTAAGGCAATTACAAAGAAAATAGCAGCATACCTAAGGCAAGTGTTATGATTCCCTGTTCTCCATTGGCCAAGTCGGCTAGAATTGCAGGCCATGCATCTGGATTTATCTTATCAATGTCAATAAATCCAGACTGTTGATACAGAACCTGGCAGTGAGAATGCACATTTAATAAATAAGAATCTATTAAATTCTTTTTGCCACAATTAGTGGTCAAAAAAGAAGATAATCTACAAGCTTAAAAACCTTTCTATCAACTTCAGGTAGCAGCCTTTTTTCTAGGGCCATCTTCCAACTCACAAGATCCTGACGTGACAGGGGACTGCAGTACAAAAGTTGATCAACAAACGTAAATTCAAAATAAAAAGGAGAAAATGCCTAAACAAAAGGCAAACGACATACAAAGATCGGAGCTTGTTTCAGGAAAATGAAAAACAAAAAGGAATAAAAAAAACTACATGATATACCAAAATTGTCAACAAAATCTTTGAAAAAGTGTGATAAAATGATTTTTTTTTGGTATCAGAAACTAATTGTTTTACATGGAAAATTTAGAAAGCAAAAGAAATTGTTGTCCATCCTTTTTTCCATCATAAGAACTAAAAAGTAAAAACTAAAGATGTTCTCTAATAAGCAAAAGGTGCAATCAAAAAGGAAAGATAATCTAATGAAGGTGCAACCAGAAAGGAAAAATAATATCTAATTAACTTGATTGTTAGATGATAGTGCCTGAGTAATCACCTCTCAGGGGAGAACAAAAATGGTTTCTGTTCTTCATTTGGAGAAGAAAACATGTCTTGTCTTGAAAGCTTGCTTGATATAAGCCCAGCTTCCGCCAAGCCTGCGATATGTAATGGGTTCAGAAAGCATGATGCAACCCCAAAAATATTAAAGTGACAGCAAAACCTTAAGTGTAATATCCCATTTTCTCACCTTGAATTAATGCAAAATCAGGATCCTCAGGTGTAATATCATCAAATGCAAGTTCAGTGACATTCTCTATGTACATAGCAGGATATACTTTTGAAACTGTGTTCCTACAGAGTGTTGAAAGGAGTTGATGATCAAAGGGCCATACAATGTTTTGAACTGCTTAGCACATTTTACAATTTGCTCCAAACGAACCAAACCCAAAACTGTTGTTAAGTATGGCCAACCTAATCTATCAACAAGTTAAAGGAATGAGGTAGATGTATACCTTGAAAGAGCACAGCTTGCTGAGACCAACCAACGAGCATATTCACGACGTGTACATAGATCACCAGGTTGAACATCGGACTCAATGACCTGGAAGGATGGAAAGATGATATTAAGTCTTGGTTATTGCTAGAGTTCTGTCTGAATGGGCCTTAGGCTTTACAAGTTCAGTTGTCTACATGAATCCTCAGATAGGGTGCATGTGAACAGCTTTGGTTGATAATTTACTATTCAAATTTGTGACACATATAAAGGTGGAGTAAACTTTAGTACCTACTTTACCTAATGCATACTGTAGAGATGATGGGTCAAATGGGTCATAGTTTCTTATTGTTTACTTATTTCTGTGATTAGCGGGCCTTAATTATGAGCCTGTTTTATTTCTTTTATTATTGTTTTTAGTGCTGGCTGCCCTACTAAGGGTATTCATGTAATTGTATTCCTTTTACAATCAAAGAATAAAATACAATAGAGGGGGGGGACTGGAGAGAGGTTCGACAGACTCTCTTCCTTTCTTCCATCTTCTTCAATCTTCCTCTTCTTTTCTACTTTTCTTCATATTATTACAGGTAGGATTTACATCTCATACTAACCAAATCCCTGTGGCTACTTCCTCACAAGATATAAAAACAAAGAGCTGTGCATTCTATTATTTGGTTGATCATTTTGTTGAATGATATTTGTCTTTTTACTTACAATGATGCCTAATAAGTTGAAATTCTCCGAAGAAGAAAGAATTATCTCATCACCCAGTTTCGAAGTATCTAAATTCAGGAATCTACCGCTTATAAAAATAAAAGTTCAGGGATATACCAAAAAGGATAAAGAAAACCAAATATTTTCACTGGTTAAATTTTCCTTCTATCGCACACATCATGGAATAACCTTTACACTCTTTATACTTATGCTTTTGCTTCTTAAAAAAATTTAATATATTATTTGTTCACTTTGCTACTTTTGCTCATCTAGCCTTCCTGAATTTAAATTCTCTCATGCTTTTGACATAATTCTTATATGAATAAATAACAGTTCCTTAATTCTAACATTCCTTCCATAGTAAAGTGTCTTACATATTTTATTGGACAACATAATGGTGTCAATAAACACTGAAAAGAAGATGTCAGAAAGTGTATACGGTTTCCTAAATCCTTTGCACCACCATGCATGTATTTTTTTAATGGGGATGGGAGCAGTGCTTTAACAAAACAAATACTAATTAAAGAAATATTTGAAAAAAAAATCCTTTACATGAGAATGGACAATGAGATCCTGAGAAGGTACAGTAACACCATGCAAAAACAAATGGCCATGTTAGAGAGACAATGTTACAAGGAAGAAAGAATTGTTTTGAGTCAAATGAAACAAAGTTCTTGAAAAATAAAAATAAAAGCAAGACAACCTCCCCCTCTCTCTTAATGTTTTAAAAACTGAACTGGAGCTGGACCCAGTTTTCTTTCCAGATGACACGTCACAGGTTCAACCATCCAAGTTGAACAGGTCAGACCATTATAAGTAAATAAAATCTAAACCTTCAGATTGGAATTTTTTTATAAGTACCTTCAGATTGGAATATTAGGTCATATGTTTACTTATATGTTTAATATAAGAGAGAGAGGGGGATGGTTGGAGAAGGGAAAGAGGGGCTAACCTAATTTCTCTTCCCTCTCAATTTCTTCCCTACGAGTCCTCTCAATCCCCTCCACCTTCCTTGTCTCTTGAGTTGCTCTCTCATACCACACCCACTCTCACTTAAATCCCTCATTTTTTTAAACCTTTTATTAACATATTATAATATATTTTTAAGAATCTTTTGAATGGTTGAGTTACTTTGTCTAAAACATGACCCATTAAAGGTTAGGAATAATTCACCAGTTTGGCTGTCTGGGAATAATTGTTTTTTAACGAGTCAATGGACCATTTTAATTTACCTACCTACCTTCTTGTCTCCTGCCCCCATGTTCTATTTTCATTTTTCCAGCTGTTAAGGAGAAAGAAAGGCCCGCCATATGAAGATTTTGAGAAAGATAACTGAGAATTTGAACATATTAAACACAACCAAATCAGCAGAAACTCAAATAAATTGGTCATTGCTGAGAGCATAACAATACCTTCAAAACTTGCAATGCTGCCAGTGCTTGTCCCTGAACTTGATCAACAACTGCAGGAATTAAAACCTTTCCAGGAGGGACCTGTAGAGCTGCAGAAACTAAAGATGGAGCAGGTATCCCAGCAGAGGAGAAGGATCTCCCAGGAATTGGTGACTCATATAATGTTCTGCTTCCATTTGTATCAGGTTCACTTGCATATTGATCAGAAGAAACTGAGGGGACTGTTGATCCAGATGATCTGTTTTCATTTAGACAAACTTCTATAGGTGAACTAATGAATTCACTACTGGCCTCCAGCATTTTGCTGGGGTTGAGATTTTCCTCATTTGTAAGAAGGTTTGCAGACTCTATGACATTTTTGGACTCAGGCTGGGGATCTAAGATCACATATGATTCTGAATTAACCGAATTATCCAAAGCTAAGGATTCAATGGGAATCTGGTTAGTTGAACCAGAAAAATCAAAAGGAACCTCGGAATTTTCTATTTCACTTGAGGAGATTCCATCCTGGTTGGAATTAACATTTGTTGCATCAATACACGACACAGATGGATTAACAAGGTTGGCAGCAACTGTTTGCACTTGAAGTTCTATATTTGACTCGGTTGGATCAGCAGCTGGGTCATCTCCTGTCCCTTTGAAGTTAGGAGCATCAGAAGAACCATCATCAACCACACCAGATCTAGACACTTTATCTGAGCTTGGAACAGGGATGGTGGGTACTGAAACATCATCAAAACCTGGACTAAATTGCAAATCTTGACTGGAAGCATCATTAATGGCATCAATACCACTGGAAGCAGATTCAGCATTTTCCATTAATGTCGCCCCCATACTAATATTATTGTCAGGTTTGCTTTCAGCAGTGGCTTCAATAATTTCTGAAGATGAAGAAGAATCCTTATTTATACCTGTCTCTCTTTCTGGATTGCAATCTTTCTGTTGGATTTCTTCATCTGGAACCATGGTGTTCTCTGCATTTTTTCCCAGTTCAACTTTCTCATTCTGATCACTAGAAGCCAGTTGCTCTTGCTGCTCCACTTTCAAGGGCTCCATCTGTTGTTTTATTGCTGTGAATAGTGAAGTATTCAGACATATAAGTAAACAGTTTTCAGGAAGAACATGAACGCTAATGAAGATTCACACAAAACTAAGATAAAAAATATTTTGTGGGTAATTAACATTTGTAAACCATAAAACCATACCAAGCAATTATAGCTAACAGTCACAAAAAGTGACTTGAAGGGAATGCCTTGAACCAAGAAATGCTATATAAACACTTATGGAACATATAAGCATCTCCTTTTATTTTACCCAAGGAATGTTTGATAGGAAAAAAAAAATGGATTTCCAAATGTATGGTTGTCCATTTACATTTTAGAAGCAAATGGAGAAGCTATAATTCACAACATATGCTAAATGTTCATTTAGATGGAACAAGCAAGCAAAAGGGGGCAGGGACAGGGCAGCAATATGTTAAAGTGCTTATCATAGTTGTCAAGGCGACGCCTGGGCGGGCACCTAGGCAACAAGGCGCCCTTGGAGGGAAGACTTCAAAATAGACATTACTAAACAAAAACATTCATTTTTTGTGTTTATAAACTAATTTATTTTTATTATTTTCTTATTTGTTGGGGTTTAATCAACACAAACATTGCTAACTGCTGTATTGAACCCTCAAAGACTTCCAAAATCTGAACCAATAAGTAAGGGAAGAACTTAAAATTTTGTCTAATCAACACATTTCTTATTCCACCTTTTCTTTTTCTTTTCCTATAACAAAAATAGGGGTTCAGCCCTATATTTTTTGAATTTTCTTTTCTTTCTTCTTTTTCTTTTCATAAATATGTTGATTTTCTAGACTTAAACATGAAGTTTATAATTTTCTTATGAAAATCATGGATATTTATTAAGGAAAGATGGTTATGGAACCTAGGGAACTACCCTAGGATATGAGGTTTTTACTTAAAAAAGTCCATCGCCTAAGTGCCCTCCTAGGCGACTAGGCAACAAGGCGCCCCCCGTCGTCTAGCCTTGAAAACTATGGTGCTTATTAAGATTCCATGGAGTGCCAGAATTAGATGCAGACGCTTCATTCATCTAGAAAAGTCCATGTAATATAGTTTTTAAAGCCAATGATCATAGATATACCTATGTGACATAAAATAGTTTCATACCAGAAGTATTCCTCCTGCTTAGAGATAGAGATGCAAAGGTGACTCCTGCTGCAAGAACAATTCCTGCCACTCCTGCTCCAACAATCCCTGAAAGTAAGCTACTACACAAGTGTCATTAGTCGACCAACAATCTTGCTCCAAAGGCATCAAAGCATGGACAAATAAAAGATACCGAGTGTTTTCTTCTTCTTTTTATTATTATTTTTTTGAAAGGCAAACTAAAGTAGTTGCATTAGTATCTAAAGTATAAGGTCCTGTACAATGACTAATGAGAAGTTGTAAAGATATTGAGCGTTTTCATATTTATAGGAAAGAGGAAACTTTGCACTTTAGGCTCCGTTTGGGAAGAGTGCAAATACAAATATGTAGAGTGCATTCTGGTCCATGCAAATACAAAGTTTGTTTAGTTTTGCATTGATAAATTTATTTTCTTGCCAAATGATTTTTAGTTGTAATGGGTGCAGACACGGATTCCTGGATTGGAATCTGCCCTTTTTTTTATTGACCAACTTTGAGTACAAAGTTTGCATCCATTTTTTTGGATGCAAACACGCGTTGAAATTTGTGAAAGCTGTCGCATTCAGTAACATGAATTCATTCTTACCAAACACCAGCAACACTGAACCAGAGTGCATATATGCACGGAACCAGCATTTGCACTCCTCCCAAACAGAGACTTTATGTTTTTAATTGCATTAATGCATAAACTACAAAATTTCCTTAGGTCCTTGGATATAATTAATTTATATCTTACTTAGGCTTAATTGATAGATATTGAACTAGAAATGATGAAGATCTCTTTTTTGTGTGAGTAGGAAAGATGGAAGGAATGATAAACAGAAACTACTTGTTAACATATACAACTAGAAAATAAATACAATCATTAAATCCATTCTAAAGAAAGAGGAGTATTGATGGATCATGTAAGGATGTATCAGACTATCAGCAATCCTATTTGACAAAGAAGGGTAATAATGGATTTTCTTTCTTTCTAATCAAGATATAGACCTTGTTGAAGGGTGTATCAGTTCATACCTTGTTGCAATCCTAACAAAAAGTAACTTAAACGTCAGCTACTTTTTTCTTCATATACTATCAAATACATACATCATGCAATTTTTTAAATTAATAAATAGAGCCTCCAAAATATATAGAATAAGATTATCAAACAAGAAAGTAAATAAAATCTCTTAACATCAACACTTTGGTTTTTGACTAAGATCAGCAACATCAACTCTGCAGATAGGGCAAGAAGGATATGCAAGTTGCATTTTAGATGAAGGAAAAAAAAAAAAAAAAAACTGCAATAAAAAATATACATGTAGTGTGTGTGTGTGTGTGTGGAGAGAGAGAGAGAGAGAGAGAGATAAAGGATCCATGACAATGTAACTCATATCTTCTCCAAACCTCCCTTATTTGAAGTAGAGTATATCCATAACCTTAGTGTCCTTGTTTTGCATAATGCAAATATATGATTACCATCTGAATGAAATGAAGTTCAAATCCAGAACTTTGAGTTTATTCTCAAGTCCTTTGGTATGGTCACAAGCTGCTAGGCATGCATGCAATGTGCAAATAAAACAGAAAGGGAAAAATAAGAGCATGCTTCCATTCACTAAGAAATTGCATGTTAAGTTTAGTTCCACTTCTTAGCACCTTTTTCTTACTATCCTAGATTATTTCCTCTGAAATTTGTACAGTCTATCTTACATTTAAGCAAGGGGCTCTTAGCAAAAAAGGCAAATTTTTGGCTGAGCACTTCCTTGGGACAATATGGGAAGGAGCTGTTAAAATCTTTAGCATTAGATATGCCTCAACCAAACGTATACCTAATAAATATGGTAGATTTAATTTCTTTTGGTTTCTCCTCCAAGCACTTCAAAGCAACCGATCTAAAGGGCATATTAAGATACTTAGAATGAGCTTTGACATTGTATTTGTATAATCATGAATCATTCTAAGCAAGTCGTTTGGATTCCTCATGCCCAATGTATTGATCAGGGATTAAGGTATCGATACGATGCTCCCAATACGGAGCGTATCGTATCCGTATCCATATCCATGATCATGGATACAGGATACACTATGACTAGATACATATTCTACGAGTCGTGCGTATCGGTATGATATGCCTCCGTATCAGGCCGTATAGCATCGTATCGGTGGATACAGTCTGATACACATCGGTATGGAGGTGTATCCATGTCTAGTTTGACAAAATTGTACATTGAGTACTTTTGGATTGTTTTTCATCTTTAATACAAGTTAAAAAATTGTATTATGAAAACTAAAATAAATAATTTAAGATTTAATTTTCCCAAAAATTTTAATAAAAACTAAAAATTATAAAAATAATATATTTCATCTACCTTAGATGATTTATATATTTTATTTTACACATAATTATATGTTAAAAATGAAAACATAGTTATTATTTGAAAAAATAGAGTCATTATATAAAAATACTAAATAAATAAATTTTCCCAACAAAATTAATGGAAAACAGAAAATTATAATTATAAAAACTGAAATGAATAATTTAAGATTTAATTTTCCCAAAAAATTTAATAGAAACTGAAAATTAAATATAATTTATTTTATCTACCTTAAATGATTTATTTGTTTTATTTTACAATTATGTGTAAAATAAAAACATTAAATGTTAAAAATGAAAGCATATTTATTATTTAAAAAGTGGTTGTTATTTAAATAAAATACTAAATTAATAAATGTTTCCAAAAATTGAAAATTATAATTATAAAATTGAAAGAGTGATAATCATTGTACAATGTTTGAATGTTCTAGAGTTCCGGTATTGTTTATTGTAATATTTCTCTTCATATAACCTATTGAAGTATGCATTTCTCATGTGTTTATATCTTATTCATAGATAATTCAGCTTTTGGTTTAGTATGATGAATGTATTTATGTGATTTGTATGCATTTCACTAGTGTATCCAAGCGTTTCTATATCTTTCGTTCGTATCCATGCGTTTCCAAAGCGTATCCGTATCCGAGTTATCCGATACGATACCCGATACCGATACTTTGATCATTGGTATTGATAAGTTCAATTCTAATAGTACTTCAAAGCAATTGGTCTAAAAGATATATTTAGCAATTAGAACTGGCAACTATTGATGATAAATTTGCATGGTCAAGATAAGCAATTTCTTTTTTCCATCTTAACCAAGATATTCATATTTTCATCTCCAATTGTTGCTCCATTTGGAAATCCTCATTTCCCATAGAGAAAATAGACCAGGAAGTGTTGTGTGCTTCATTTAGAAATACTGGCTACGCTAATTCCAATTGGCTAAGAATTATGCCTTCCTTGCATTAGACTTTTTAGTAAGAAAAATCTAATGAAAGGAGAATTTTCTATGAACTCTCTTTTAGGACTTTAGAGTTTGGTCTTAATTAGGTTTGTCCTTCACATCGCCAAGTCCAACTAAGAATATATGGGTACTAGTTGATCAAATTAAATGGACCATAGCTTGGTGTAATGGTGAAATCTCGGACTGACTAGTTTGAGAATGCAGATTCCAGTCTGACAGCAGCCACTTTGTGCTAAAAAATGCCAAAGGTTAGTTTGGTATCCAATCTTTTTTTTTTCGATAGATGAAGAAAAATCTACTAAGATCAAATCAAAGGATAATACAAAGAGTCTTCCCTAGAAAAGGTGCAAGATGCAGCCTGAACATAATCAGATTATAACTGAGCCCAGAACAAATGCTGCCTATACACCCCTTGCTTAGCTAAGAAGTCAGCTATTCCATTAGCTGACCTCCTTTAGCTTTGACACTGAATCCTTACAGTCATATTGGACATTGGCCATTTAAATCTTTTAACAGCTTCCCTGTAGATCCAAATAACAGTGTCTTGGTTTTTTATCCAGCCAACTACCAGCTTAGAGTCTCCTCCTATTATCAATATGTCCACATTCATCTCTCTAGCAAGCTGTACTCCCTGCAGGGCCACTTGAAATTCAACAGTGCAGAAGGGCATATTATTGCTTTATATTCAAGCCCTGCTCCAATCAACCCCTCCCAAGACCCCAGGTAGCTGGGACCAACATTGGGTAATGACCTTTTTAAGTGTCCAATTAAGGAGTTAAGCTTTTGTTAGACGGTGGCCCTTATGAGCTTTTAATTACTTTCTGCTTGCTTTGAAAATAGAAGTGAGGTTGTATCTCTTTACACGTGTACGCTGTGCAGGAAAGGAGTGTTGGTAATTTACCAACTCATCCATTATTTAGTAGAATGAGCATATGAAATTGCAATAACTTGCTGAAATTTCCCGTTTGCCTTCTATAGTTTGATTAATCAATGGAATTGGCAAGTTGTCTGGGGAAAGATTCATTCCTCGCGTTATAATTGAATACCAGGAAAGAAGGGAAAAAAAAGGAAATACAAGGATTTTTCAGAAACAAAATATCAAATTTTCAAATCATCATTCAGAAGAAAAAAGTTAAGATAGATTGTAAGATTCTCATTGCCCAATATTATAACGAAAGGTTCCATGGAGTAAGATATAAAAGCTTCAACATCTACCATATTGGCTGCTATAACCTAGAATCACCAAGAATTAGGGGGATGCTATATTTATATATCCAGTTTTTTTACCAAAAAGGGAAAAAAGGAATCCAGTCTGCTTTCTTTATTTCCTTTGCCCCATTTATTTCGTCTATTTACTGAAAAATTGATATTGCAACCACCAGATGTTATCTTACCTCCAAACCCACGCTTCCCCTGCTCGCTACTAGAATCTGAACCAAGCCATCCGGAAAACGTTTCAGCCGAAGAGTTTGAATTCATCCACGAATTGTTGGGAAGACTCCGCTCTTTTCCATCTCTGTCCGCCACATTACCAGTGTCGGCAGATGAACGAATTGGACGATATACAGTACGGGAATGCGTCCGCACAAATAACGCACGGGATTTCCCGCATCTAGAACCAAATCGAAGCTGAAAGGAATTCGGGGACGAAGGAATTGTCAGAGATGCCATCTTCGCTCAAGAAAGCTCTCCTTCGTTCTAGATAGGCAAAATACGAAACGATCTCCAGATGCGCACAAGGAAGGAGATAGAATAATTATAAAAAACTTAAAACCAAAAGAAGCTCAATTACAGAATTGCAGGCAGGACAAGGTTTTAGGGGTTTATTTCCCTAATTGTGCAGAAGGAATATGAGATTCTCTTTTTCCACGGAGGGATAATAAGGAAGGAATCGAAGGAATTGGTCGCTTCTTTTGGGGTTTCTCTTCTGGTTATCGGTTATCCAGTCTCTCATTCCACTATTAGACTTATCAGTCCATTCACACTGATCACTTTATCTTCTACTCCCGGCAACAAGAAACCCAGAATGCGCAGTGCCCTTACTGACACCTGATCGTTACTAAATTATCACATGGTCCTCCCCTTTGTGAAAAATGACATTTAAGATCCTACAACTTAAATGACAATATTACCCTTATCTTTGTGAAAAATGACATTCAAACTCTTCTGGTATCGAATCTTTCGGATATCAGTCGACAAACGACAATATTGCTTTTGTTTGTTCGCTGAATCGCTGGGCTTTCAATTGTCACACGTGACACACATGGAAGGGCAGGAAATTTTTAGAACTACAACTGTTATATGATACCATAAAATTTTGTCACCAATCATATAGTATCAAATTCACATGTATTTTGATTCGTCAAACAAATCATGTTTTTTGGGCAGCATACATTTTGATTATGATTGTGTATACCTTTCTCTTGTCCATGTGCCATGGCCCAGGGCCCCATGAATACCTTACCTCCATCTGCCATTTGATGAAAAACAGTTGGTTTGATTTTATCCATCCCACGGGCAGATCAAAGTCAATGAAAAGTGAAGACGAAAATTACGTTTGTCTTTTTCGGCGCTGTTGTCACTGTATTGAGTTCAAATTTGCCGTTCGAAAACGTTCCACCACATCCCGATCGTATATTGAGAACATCATGTTCTTAATGCTCGCGCATTCTGTGCATGTGAATCGTTTTGGGGGCCATTCTGTGGGGTGGGGGGAAGATGTGAAGTGTATACCCCAAAACCTAACGACTAGGGATTTAATTTAATTTTGTTAGGTGACGTGACGTTAGATGATGTGTCCAACCTGATGAGTGATGAGTCCAACCTCCATCTTGACATTTTTTGATAGGCAAACTCGCGAGCCAACCCTGATGAGTCCAACCGCAACATATAAGAGGTTCTTACCAACCTTTCTCATACCGGCCCAAAGTCCATAAAAATCTATTATTATTATTAAAAGAAAACATGCCACCTTACATTCTCCTTTTTCCCTTTACCCAATCAAGAATCTTCTTGTTTTTCAAAATATTATTTCTTACATCGATAACTTACTACTTTGGCAATCTATTGTCCAGGCTTACGCCTTGAGGTACACAGATTAGACTCAAGGTTTAAGCCTTTGTTCGAATGAGGTGTAAATTTTTAAGCCTTTGTTCGAATAAACCTTTAAGCCTTTCTCTCAATGAGGTGTAAACCTCAAGCATCAAGGTATGAGGCGTAAACCTCAAATATCAATGATTAATTATTGATTTAATGCAAAAAATGTATTTTTATAATTTAAAACTTATAAAAAATACTTCAATAATTATGGACCAAATAAAAAGTAAAAATGAAAAATTAGTAAGACAAATCAAATTCTATTAGTTTTTCTTAATGTTTTAAGATAGTTCAATAATAGTTTCTTTTGAATAAATCAAGTGAGATTTTTCTTCTTATTCTAAATGTAATGTCCCAAGTGTGTTATTTTTCTCATTTCTTATCCTAATTGATTTCTTCTTCTAAATTAATTTTTTACATAAAATATAAAATGTTTATAATTGTTAGTTGATTAATCTTTATTTTATTTAATGCTTAAATGTCAAAACTTATTACTTATAAACTTTTAGTTTATAGATATGTGTTAGCTAATCAAGTGCTAATTTAGTATATTATAAGTTATTTTCATCAACTTACAAACTTATAATTAATTTTTTTTCTTAAACCTTGAGGCTTATGCCTCATCTTTTTGGGCCATTACACCTCAACAATGCCTTTAGCTTTTTAAAACCTTGTTATTTTCCCTTTCATTCCTTGATTCCCACCCATTTATACTCCTTATGCATAGACACTCCTAAATTGTTTCCAACTACCCTCTATCTCAATAGTCAATACAATTCTTCTTCCCACACCTACCCAGCCTCAATACAATTATACATTTAATTAGAGCATCTCCCCAATTTGCATGTTACCATTAATGTGGAGATGTTTCCAATGTACTATTATTGTGTCATGTGGGTAAGCGTGGGTAGGAGATCTGAATTGCTCTATTTTCTCCTCCACTCAAAAAATTGGGCTCATTCTAGCTTAGTAAGATTTGGTTTCCCAAACCAAACAATATCTATATTTACCCCCTTCCCAACACTCTCCTTATGCCATGTCAGCATCCATCTATTGCTTGGTTCACTCTCAAACTCTTTTTCTTACAAATGAACCAGATAGAGAGATAGATAGAGACATGTAGGCAAACATATCTTCCTAATACATTTTGATATCTTAAACCTTGGTGGAATTTTGGGTGCCCATTTGGGAGAAATTTTAGGTTTCAGCTTTTGCCTTTGAGGTAGCCCCAATTTAGGTAGTCTATAAGCTATTTTTGGTGAAAATTTTGGATAGATTAAATATTTTGTGCTTCAGCCCAAAAATATGGTTCACCCTGACTCAGTGAAGCTTCTTTTAGTAGCTTATTTAAAAAATTTTGCTTTCAACTTTTGACAGTAAAATTTGGATTTACTAGATGAAACTCAAGGAATTAGAATTGCTAGAACATATGAGAGCGGTATTTTTTCAAAATTTGAGGAGTCTAATGAGTATCAATTAAAACCCATTTTTTAAGTAAAATTTAAGGAATTATTGTTCTTTTAGTCTTTAACTAGTGGGGACCCATGCGATGCACGAGATTTATTAAGCAAAACTAAACAATAGAAAATACATAAGAGTATATAATTGTTAATTTTATACTTTTAATTTTGGGTTTGACTACGATATGGGAAAGATATGATATCTGAAAATTCTTTAACCAATCAACTGGTATCATAAATGTGTTAGCTAATCAGGTGTTATTTATCAAAATTTATGGGTGGATTCTAATTGATCAAAACTCTTCCAATACCATATATTTCCTGATCATAGATTTTCCTTTATATTTTATATACTACTTTTAATATTTTTTTTACAATACAAAAGTAATAATAATTAATTTCATCTAGGGTTGTTCATCAAACTGATATATATATATATATATATATATATATATATATATATATATAGTCGAATATCAACTTTCATTCATATTGACTCCAAGACTCGAGGCATTGGCTAACCAGTCCTGGTGAGACTTGGATGGGAGAGGGATAGGCACCCCTCTCCCAAGTCCAATAGGTAGGAGCCACCCAAGATTCCAAAACAAGCATAAGCATGAACAAAATTATTTAATCAATAGTACTAAGGAGAAAAAAGAAAAGCAAAACTAAGTAAGATGTTCTTTTGTATTGGTTTGTTATTACAATTTGCTTTATTTGTCCTTAGTACAATTGATTAAATAATTGTGTCCATGCTTATACTTGTTTTAGAATCTTGCACGGGCCTCCACCTATTAGACCTAGGAGAGGGGTGCCTAACCCCTTCCCTTACCCATCCAAGTCTTACCTGGAATGGTTAGCCAGTGCCCCGAGCCTTGGGGTCACTATGAATGAAAAATGATTTCCAAAATAATTCTTGAAGGTTTTATCACCTTCATTTCACTTGACTGATATATGGTGACTCCAAATCAGCCCAAGTGATCTGTTTTCCAATGCTCACAAATAGCTAATTGGCATCTTAGCAATATAATTTCTAATTTAACAATAATACCCAAATTCACTAGCCTATACATATTCCTCTATATATAAGATTTTAAAAGATAGAGAGAAAACTTTTACTACTAAACAAAAATGAATTTCAAGTTATACATATTAGATATCATAGACTACTTGGTAAGAATCCAAAATTTAGAAAACAAGTTAGCCAATTTATATTAGAAAGTACCCAAATTTCATACGAAGTTTTATGTATTTTCTTACCTTACACTTAATTATCTTGCCTTTCTTTTTCTTTCTTTGAATCTTCAAATTTGATATTAGGTAATTGTGCCTAACTCAATTAAGAGCTACTACGAGTTATATTTTTAAAAATATTACCTGCTAATTGTGATTGTATGAAAGCATATAAATAAACAATCAAAACATATGATTTAGGGTAAAAGATTTAAACATCCCCTAAGTTTTATGATAAATACTTAAACCTCCCCTCTAATTTCTGAGAGGACTTGAATACTGTTATATTTAACATAACCAATAAAAATACTTTTTTGCCCTTCATCATTGTTTAAATTTTTAAAGCAACCCATTCAAACTATAACCTAAGGAAAGAAACAGGATGAGATGGTTCCGTGGATGAATGAGATTCTTATATCTACAAATAAAGAATTCTTTCATGTAAGAGTAGTTACATTTTTTTTATAGGTGACAAGAGTAAGATTAGGTCCATCAGGATTGAGTCCACAGCGTTAGTCTATATGTAAATCAATTCCCATTCTAGATGTTCACTTAGTCTAATGACCAAGACAATGTATATTAATCTGTATTTTGTAAAGTAGATAGTTGCCCATGTTTTATTAATTTTAATGTAAATAGAACTTTTTAGATAAGATCACAAGATGCAAATATGATGTATAAATAGTTCTGATGCAACTGCAACATGCCATGAGGTTGTTGCTATACACAGAGGTGGGAAAGGAAGAAATATTTACTCTTGGCAATGCCATCGATGGAAAGGCAAGATTGAAAGAAGGGTGAGATTTGTTAACATAACTCCAATGATAACAAAAATCCCAGTCTTAAAGAAGCATCTGTATAAGAAAATTCACATGATAATAAAGTAGAGACTGTAGAAACCATACAAAATTCATAGTGAACGAAAGACATGAAAAACATGGAGAAAAGCAATTGATAATGCAAAAATCAACACGAGAAGGGGAAATCTTTCCACAACATTTGTTAGATCTGCGGTAATGCTTCTATGTCTAATTCTTTTGCTTGGTGTTGATACACAACTACCCATAAAGAAGGATAAGATTTTTTTTCAAACCCAAAAGAAGTGTTGTATTCCAAATCTAGAAAGAAAGGTAAGATTTTTTAAAACAAATGAAAGTTAACTTCTTGAAATAGAATAAGATGAATCTGTTCTTTAGACTTTCAAAGAATCAAATATGGTTAAACCCACTAAAA